GAACACTTAAAATTAATAAAAACTTAACTAACAAAAAACTATCGTTTGTGTTTAAACGACATAAGCAAGTTGACAGCTCAATTTGTTTTTTTTAATTGCCATGGCCAACCGTGACTTTTTCGAAGATTTTTGTTTTTTAGTGTTACCATTGAAATCGAAGCTTAATATTTTCGCGTATAACTCGAAAACGGTCAATGTTATCAAAATTTTCAAAGAGTGATAAAAGTTTCTAAAATAAATTTTCTATTAAAAGGTACAAAAATAAATGTAGGGTTACGAGCGAACAAAAAAGTTCTGAGCAAACAAATTTTAGGGACACTCTGTATAGCATGGTTGCCGCCGCGCGATCAAAGTCAAAATTGGTTCAATTATTTTGCTTGATATTTGTTTACCCTGTACCAAATTTCAACGCTCTACCATAAATGGTATTGAAAATATTTAGAAAAATGTGTTAAAATTTCTGAACTTTTATAATAATTTTTTTTCACGAATCGTCATCATTTTTGCTCTAGTATGTGAGGTTAATTTTATGTCCCGAGTCACCGGAACACCCTGTATATATTTTTATACATATTTTTATTGAGAAAATCGTTTTAGAATTTAATTTAGAACAACTTTTGTATGAAATTTTCTGCTGAGAACGATTGGAGGGGGGAATCGTATTGTTTTGTTACAAATAATTCAATTTTGGCCTCTAGCGGATAAACAAAAGACGATAGCGCTATGAGGTTTTCGGCATTAGCAGTTTCTCGCAAAACGAGATCACGACATGTCAGCTACTTTTCTTCTAACTCTTATAGTTTTCGAGTTAGCCTATTCGGACATCGAATTTGAACCATCCTGTACAGGGTGTCCAAATTTCGATGGGTATCTCAGTTATTATGACAGATAGAAAGTTGCGGCTTTCGCGAACCTGAGCTACTTTTTTGTGAAACAATGGCGCAAACCAAATTTTCATAGCCATCTTTGTTTTTGATATACAGGGAGTGTTTCAAAATTTACGATTTTGAGACACCCCTGTATCTCGGCTATCCGGAAACTTAGTAAAAAAGTAAAAACGGTGCACGTAGAATTTTTGTAGTCTTCACGGTTTTTGAGTTATAAAGAGTATTTAGTATTCGAGTTGTGTCCATCGAAATTTGGACACCCTGTACATTCAAAAAAGTAAATTAAAAAATAATTCGATTCAAATTAATTTTAATTAATATTTTGCATAAAATTCCCTTTAATTTGATACCAAACACAATATGCTTACGATTAAAAATAAAAAAATTAATTAAATTAATTAATTAAATTAAAAAAAAATTAAAAATTTCATTATTTGTCTAATTATAAAGATTACATGGTCGTGTTTGGTATCAAATTAAAGGAAATTGCATTTCCTAGCTGATATTTAAAAAAAAATAATAATATCTTTAATAATTTAATTTAATTTTTAGCAATTCAAAATGCACATATTAGTCCAATACCGATACACGGACACGCGATTAAATTACGAATCGATTTCGCCGAAACGCGGTCACATGCTCGGCGAGGACACGTTAAGAAAAAAAATTTGGATTCCCCATCTGGTTTTATCGAACGAAAAGGACACGTTCATTATGGGTTTGGAGGGCAAAGACGTGTTCGTTTCGATTTCGCCCACGGGAGAGGTGATCTATTCGTACCGAATGACCGCGATGATTTATTGTTGGATGGACTTGCTTTATTTCCCGTTCGACGAGCAAACTTGCAGCTTGCATTTTATGAGTTGGACGTACAATTCGTCGCAGTTAGTTTTGAAATGGGACGATGAGGACCCGGCCAAAGTCGCCTCACAATTACATCTAACCGAATTTCGACTTTTAGAGCATCACACGTTTAGCGGGGAAACCCCCGCTCCGTTATCAAAAGGAGCTTTTGGTATGCTTATGAAAATCAAAGCGTTAAAAAATTAATTATTTTTCATTTTAGCCGGAAATTATAGCACTTTAATTTTAGAGTTTAAAGTCGCAAGAGAGATCGGTTATTATCTAATGGATTATTTTATCCCATCGATAATGTTAGTTTGCACCTCTTGGGTGACGTTTTGGTTACAAGCCGATAACGCAGCCCCTAGAGTCACTTTAGGAGCTTCTACGATGTTGTCGTTTATAACCTTAGCTTCGGGGCAAACCAAAAATCTCCCGAAAGTTTCTTACATTAAAGTCAGCGAGATTTGGTTTTTGGTTTGCGCCCTATTTATATTCGCCTCAATGGTTGAATTCGCATTTGTAAATATCATTTGGAGGAGAAAGTAAGAAACGAAATTAACCATTTCGGATAATTATTAATTATTCGGTCGATTTTTTCAGGAAAGAAGTTGCTTTAATCAAAGTAAACAGTAAATACATATTAAAATCGACCCTAACGCCGAAATTAGCGCGAAAAGAGTTCGAGAAAACCGCGCTTGGGCGAGAAAACGCTTTGTATAAATCTCGATCAGTTGGAAGTTTAAATGGAAGTAATGGAAGTTGTAATGACAATAAAGAATTTAAATACAATAATTATTTAACGGTTCACGTAAGTTTATCCTAACAATTTTTTTTTAATTAATTAATGCAATTAATTTTAGAGCCCGATGGATATTCCTAAGATAATAACACAAAGTGCTGATCCCATCATACAAATTGAAAGCGGGACGAATTTAGATCAAGACGAGAAAGAGAACAAACCGCGTAAATGGACGACGATGAGCCCGCAAGAGGTTGCGATTTGGATCGATAAGCGATCGAGAATATTTTTCCCCGCCTTATTTACACTCTTTAACATCGTCTTTTGGACGGTTGTTCTAATCGTCTAAATCAAAAATGAATAACAATAGCGATCTTTTTTTTTGAATCTCAAAAGGAAAATGAAAAAAAGAATTTTAAAACGTAACTCAAGAATCTAAGAGGACTGCTAAATCTTACTAAACTGTTTCACACTTTGAATTAGTAAATACTTTATTTATTCTATTCATGTTTTGTAATGTTGTTAGTTTGAGACTTAATAGGGCACGGAACTTTTGTAACAAAACGATACGATTTCCCCCCTCCACTCGTTCTGATTAAAAGAACACCATACTGTTCAGTGGGAAATTAAAATTTCAAGTTAGAAAAAAATTGTTTTAACAAACACTGTTCCTGAAGCAATTCTTAACAAACATTGTTAACAACATTTTTTGATTTAATCAATAATTAAGGAGATAACCTCAAAA